AGACTGGGTGGGGAGAAGGATCTCATGCCTGGAAATTGGTCTGCCTTAGCTAGCACAGCGGTAGGGCGGTTGCCTTGCACGCAGCCAACATGGCCGACCCGAGTTCGATTCCTCCGCCCCTCTCGGAGAGCGCAGCAAGCTACCGAGAGCATTCAATATGCCAGACACAGTAACAACAAAGTCTCCAATGGAGACGTTACTGGGCCCGCTCGAGCAAATCGATGATCAATGGGAGCGCCTTTACTTTTACTTACTTAGTTTCCCAGAGTCTTTCTTACTAGTGGGTTTTTCTCCCATCCTTTTCATATGGATGGTGACGCAAAACAGACAAAGGCGGGGTGCCTCTTTGCAGAGACCATTCACACAGAGGTTAACACATTCCTTCCCCATGCCCCGTAGAGATTTCCAAGGGAGCATACCTTCACAGCAGATTTTCCACAGATTACCTCTTTTACTGGAGCCACAAGGTTTGGTGAGAAAGAACCTTATGGGGCCAATCCACACCAAAGGAAGGCCATTCTGATGAACAATAAATGCCAAACTTACCTTTCTTGATCCTCAAGCCCAGATTCTGAGGTTTCCTGTGGATCTCAGAGAAGTGATCAAGAATTAAAACCTTGGGGGTCGATCGTTTTTGACCTATGTTAAACAATCTTAATAAACAGAACTAGGAAAAAGATAACAAGACAATACATACACTAAGGACACACGCACAGATCACACTCCTACACTCGCTCGGACCGGTCCTCCTCTCACACTGGTGCGCACCACACTCACCAGTCACACTGGGATTCCCAAACTTGCCCAAAGGGCTTGCACGTGATTTTCAACTCCAGAGGGTTTTTAGTTCTTCCAAGTCTTCTCCTGGCGCCAGGTTTTCCAGATCAGATGAATATGTCCCAGAGAATATGTCCTCCAAATCATGGGCATTGTGACTAGTGGGTATCTCATAACTCAGACATCTGGTTTATCTTCCATGTCTACCAAGCTCCCTGTGATTTACAACTCAGGGCACCTGCATTCCTGTGGAGGCTCATAAGGGGAGAGTTACTAGCGGAGGGGCACATCAAGTTGCTAATTAGCAGTGCTTTATTCAGGCACTCCCCCACACGGGCCCAAGTTATTTTATTTTTTTAATTAATTTTTTTTTATTATAAGCGAACTTCCCACTGTCTGGTAGTAAGAAAGGAGGGAGAGGGAGAGGGAGAGAGAAAGGCGGCGTTTTCAAATGTGGGGACGTGGATGTGCTTAACTGACGAGTACCTAACGATGCACAGTTTTTTCTTCTGCGGGGGACGCGATTTTATTCTGGGAATCGCGGCTGTGACCCCCTCATCCTGTCACGGGAGACTTCTAGCGGTGAGCGCCCTAGTGGCTTTTAAGTGCTCGACCCATGCCCGCAGGGAGGAACCGCCGGGAAAGGGAAACGGAGTTAAAGAGCGAAGAAAGTGACTGAGAAAGTGAGAGGGAGAAATTTTGGCCCAATAACCAGGCCACCCAAAACAAATTTGGGCTGATGGGAGGGAGGGGATAGAGGGAGGCTGAGAAGGGCCACGGGACTGTGGAGCAGAGGGGTGGTAGCCCTTTAAGAAGGTCTCTAAGTCTTATTGCCAGTAGGAAAAGGCCAGGACTGGGATTTTCTTCCACACGGCCCCAGCATTCATTGATAAGGTTCCAAAAGGAAAAGGTCAGGGCGGGGATTTTACAGTCTCCCACACAGCCCCAGCGTTTCTTATACACACATTTTCAAGAAGAAAGAAATCGACAAGGTCCTTTTTCTTTACCTTGACTCCTGTGATGTTTAAGGGAAGTCTTAAATAATTCCCTCTTAGTCAGGGTCTGCCCCATGACTACTGAAGGCAGACCAAGGGACAAGAGTGAACAAAAGAGGGAAAAAGAGAAAACTACAGAGGAGAAGAAAAGAAAGAGAAGGACACTCACATGAAAGAGAAAGAAGACGCGACATAGATGGGTCACTGGAAGGCTGTGAATACCTGCGTGAATATCTGGGAGAAACAGACGCGAGTTACGGGGGAGGCCCGACAAAGGGGCCTACTCAGGTGCTTGTCTGGCCAGTGGGAAACTTAGCCGTAGTGGATCAGCCAAAAGTGACTTACGGCCGACGTCTAAGTCAGCACCACCATAGACCATATGTTTCCCATGGAATCGCAGACAGCCCACTCGGATTCCGTAGCCTTTCAGGGACCTTAAGGGTACCCCAGCCGTGGAACCACAGACTCGAATCAGAGGCGAGGATGCCTCTGACCGCTCACTCACTCACACACACATTCCACAGAGGACACGACAAAGGAGCACAGGGGAGCCTTATCCAACCCAGTGACCGTCTCATATACCTCATATGAGACTGAACACTCAATTGTGACACAGACAGGAGGACTAGAAGGCAGAAAAGAAAAAACATGAATAGAGACGAGACAGGAGATGGGTCACTGGAAGGCTAACCCCCATGCGAATACCCGGGGGGAAAGAGACGCAAGACACGGGGGAGGCCCAACAAAGGGGCCCACTCAGGTGCTTGTCTGGCCAGTGGGAAACTTAGCCGTAGTGGATCAGCCAAAGGTGACTTGCGGCCAACGTCTAAGTCAGCACCACCATAGACCATATGTTTCCCATGGAATCGCAGACAGCCCATTCGGATTCCGTAGCCTTTCAGGGACCTTAAGGGTACCCCAGCCGTGGAACCACAGACTCGAATCAGAGGCGAGGATGCCTCTGACTGCTCACTCACTCACACACACATTCCACAGAGGACACGACAAAGGGGAGCGTGGGGGAGCCTTATCCAACCCAGTGATCGTCTCATACACCTTCTATGAGACTGAACACTCAATTCTCCCCTTAATGCTGCCCTACTCGTCCTCAATCACGAGACAGGGACTTCCAGATTAGGCGTGCACTTACCTTTCCGTGCGTCCCTGTGGCCACCGCTTCCGGAAGGGGAGTTCGGCAGTCGTCTCCCAGACACTGCCCCACGTTGGGCGCCAGTTGCAGGGGGGGAGGCCGCCAGACCACTCTCCGGCCCGTGGAGGTGGCCCTAGGATCCGTAGGTGCAAGGAGGGACCAACCGAATGAAGACACAAGACACAAGAGACAGAGTACAGTTTAGAAACAGAGATAAAGAGACAGGACAGGACTTTATTCAGGGAAGCAGGGGTATTATATACTTTGCAATGCAGGAAACTGTGCTTACATCACAGAAGGCAATTACATCACTAGGTCATATCATATATTGTTAGGAGAGTTACAAAACCTACATGTTCCATGTGCTTGATTAGTCTATGTCAGTTACTTCTTATTCTTGGGCTAGCTGTGACAAATGTTTTCTTTTAGACAACCATACATAGCTCATAGGCTGCGGTTAGAGCAGACGCAGTACCAGATTTGCGCTAGTCAGGACCCGCTTGTTCAGGGTCACATAGGCCAAGATAACCATACATAGCACAGGACGTACGCCCTTGGTCAGTTAAAGGGCCAGCTTCCCACACCTTAGTAAGGTAAAGGTAAAGGCCCTTCCGTTGATCATCGATTTGCACGAGCGGGCCCAGTAACGTCTCCATTGGAGACTTTGTTGTTACTGTGTTTGGCATATCAAATACGTCACGGGGAGCTTGCCAGGCTCTGGCGTGCGGGCGAGATACTCTCGGTAGCTTGCCGGGCTCTCCGAGAGGGGCGGAAGAATCGAACTCGGGTCGGCCATGATGGCTGCGTGCAAGGCAAATGCCCTACCACTGTGCTATCGCTCCAGCCCAGTATGAAGGACAAATATTCCTTCTAGTTTTCGATTTTATCTCCCTTTTCCTTTCATTTTTGGTGATTTTTTCCCCTGCTTTTTGGCTCATACCCTGCAATGCACAGGGGTTACTCCTAGCTCATGCACACAGGAATTACTCCTGGCGGTGCTCGGGGGACCACATGGGATGCTGGGAATCGAACCCGGGTGGGCCGCGTGCAAGGCAAACGCCCTACCTGCTGTGCTATCGTTCCAGACCCTCTCATTTTTGAAATAAAATTCTTCTGCCAGAATACTTTAAACTTTAATTCCCCTTTTACCACAAATACATATTTTGTTTTCTGGATATGCTCAATTCAAAAGGTATTCAAAACTTTTAACATTAAATATAGACTTCTTCTTGTTTTTGTTTTTTTTTTAACCGGCAAGAGCTGAGGAAAGGGTGCCCATCACCAGCCACACGGAGGCCAAGGTCTGACCCCGAGGACCCTGGGAACTGCTCAGCACGCACTCCCTTCCCCAGGCAGCTTGGAGCCTGTGTGCTGAGGGTCTGGGCTGCCCCTCACCCTCCTCCTAACAGGTCTCTACAGCTCTGGGCCGGTAACACTGTGGACTCAGCCCTCCCCGTCTCCGGAGTCCCTCGGCCCCTGCACGGGGATCCTATCTCCAACTGGTTCCAGGGACGCCCACTCCCTCTTGCTCCTGAGGCCATGGCCGGCAGCTTGGACAGTGGACAGGACCCCCAGCCTTCATGAGCCAGCTCGCTCTTGGCCCCTTCCAGCTTTGTGAACTGGCCGGACACGGTCCCCAGGGGCACTCCGCTGGGCACTGCCTTCTCTCGATGGTGGGGATCCCATGGCAGCCACGGAGCTGGAACTCCTGTGTCGGGAGTAGGGGCCCCGACCTGGACACTCGTGGCCAGGCCTCTGCTCTCCAGGGGGACAAACTGCGACTGGCCAGGCTCTGCGGGAGGCCTGGGCCACACCAGCCTGGTCTTGGGCTTGCTCCATCCCAGACTCACAGATGTGTCTCCATGGCGACGTGACGTGCCTTCCATACTAGAGAGCAGCCAAGCACGACACCGGCCAGCCCGCCCCCCGCAGACCCCCGGCCATAGACGGTAAAAGGCCACAGCCCGACCCCCACCCCAGGCCTCCCCGCCGTCCTCTGCCCCGGACTGTCCGCTGCTCACTGTCCGCTGCTCACTGCCCGCCGCCCGGAAATGTCTGCCGCCCGCAGCCCGCTGACCATGGACGGTAAGAGTTGTGGCCAGCCCCCCGCCCCAGGCCTTGTCCCAAACTGTCTGACCCCCAAGAGTGCCCTGGCTCTGGCCACCTGGTGCTGACCGAACCCGGCAGTTGTGCCCTGCCCACTCCTCGGTACCCTGTCCGTTGCTCTGCCCTGTCCACTGACCTGCCCTGTCCTCTGATCTGTGCCATGCCCAGTGACCTGCCCTGCCCGCTACGCGGCCCTGCCTCGGGGTTTCCGTTTCCCCTCCTGGCCATCAGGACCCTCACCCCAGTCGCCAGGCAAGGGCTCCCTGCACCGCCCTCCCCGCGGTCATCCTGGGCAGCGCCCACCTGCAGGCGGGTCAGCTGGGGCGTCTCCGCGAGCAGCGAGGTCGGCCATGGCTGCTGGCCAGACTTTCGGAGCAGAGCCGGCCGCTCCCGTTCCTGTGGTTCTTTGTGGGCCACACCCTGCGTGTCACGGTCCACCAGACCCATGGTTTTCTGGGGCCCCTGCACGGTCGTACTCGGGCATCGCAGTCACTGACATGCGCTCTGCCCATGTCGGCCGCTGGGAGGGGAGTCTAGGAGTAGCTGGGCCATAGCTCACATGGACAGGGCAGTGCTCACTGAGACTATGGTGGCCTGAATATTGACCTCTGATGGTCAGCAGTCATCCCCTGGCATGTGAGAAGTGGGCTTCAAGGATACGGCGGTTCCTGGGAGCCAGAGTGCATCTTCCTGACCCAGCAAGGGAGTGAAGGGCCTCCCGGAGGGCAGAAGCTGCAGCTCTGAGAGCCTGTCCTCAGAGGTTCTGCACAGGCATCCAGCTGCACTCACACTTCCTGACTCACCTTCTCTCTCTTTGTAGACCACCCGTTCCAACTGAAGGTATGTCCCCCAGTTGGTCCTACCCAGCCCTGCTGCTGCCATGGGGGATGGTGCTGTCAGGCTTCTGCTGCCTGCTAGGCTTTCCTTGTCTGCTGAGCCCCGATGGTCACTCAGCTGTGGGGAGAACATACATGTCACTGGAAGGGACAACCTGGTACTAGCCAGGCCCCTTCTGGACCAATGGGCCTCTGTCAGGCCTGCTGTGCTTGCCAGGGGTTGCTGAGTAAGCTCAACCTCGAGCACTGACAGTGAGGCCCCTAAAAAATAAGATTCGAGTGATAGTCCAGCAAGTAGGGCCTTTACTTTGCAGGTGGCCAACCCAGGTTTGATCCCCATCACCCTATATGGTCTCCCAAGCCTGCCAGGATGAATCCCTTAGCACTGTGACCCGAAAACCAAAAGATTAAAATCATAGAACAATTTATTGGCAGCTCAGCGCACCTCCCTAGTGTATGTGTGTGGGGGGTGGGGGAGTTGTCCCTGGAGTGCTCCTCCCACCTTTGGGGGCAGCTGCTGGAGAGGGAACAGGTATCCAAGCACCCCTGGGACCCCAATCCCAGTGCAGATCCCCTCCAAGTGTCTCACCAGCAGCCTAAGTGATCACTAGGTGACCTTTTCCCATGGGAGGGTTCTGGGCAGGTGTCTGGGAAAGGACAGACACAATAGAAAACCCTTCTTGGCCAGTGGCTTGGCCCTGACAGTTCCACCGCATCTACTTGGGCTGGGGAGGCAGGGCGGGTGGCTCTGCACGCCTCATCTGCTGCCTCTTCTCAGTACACCGTGGAGCAGCTACAACAGCTGGCCGAGATAAAGGAAGAGCTAGAAAAGCTGGCCGAGAAGGCAGAGAATGACTTCAAGGCTGAAAAAGCCAAAGCTGATCCGGTGAGCTGCTGCTCTCGCCCTGCCATGGGACGTGGCTGCTGGGAGACAGGCCCTGGGTTGGTGTCCTGCCCATCCTGGGGGCGTGACTGCTGTTAGGACAGGCCCTGCATGCTTGTCCCACACTCCCTGGGGTTTGGCTCTGGGACACTGACCCTGCCCATGTGCTGGACCTTCCAAGGCTCTCCAGGGCTCAACTGCCATTCCTGTGTTTCTTTGTTCTGTGCCGGCGGGATGCCCACTAAGCCATCCATCCCTTTCTTCCCTTCACCACAGTGCCTGAGGATCCACTCTGGGTGGAGGCCAGAGATGGATCCTCCAGGCTGTGGTCACCTGACTGATGCCTCAGCTTCACTAGGGGACAGAACAGACCGGGGGCTCAGGGTGACCCTGTGCCATCTCCAAATGCAATGGGTAGAGCCTGTCCACTGGGTCCCAGGTGTGGCTCCGTGGAGTGATGGGGCTGCCCAGGAGCTCCAGAGAGATGGGACAGGGGTAGGCGCTTGCCTTTGGGCATTTCGGGGCTGATGTGGTCTCCCAAGCCCCACCAGGGGTCCTCTCTGAGCACTGCCTGATATGGCCCAGAAAACTTAATCACTTAATCACTTAACTTCCCGTTAGTCATCGATTTGCTCGAGCGGGCGCCAGTAACGTCTACATTTGTCCCTGTCACGTCCTAGTGTAGCCCAATGGCATCTGTTCGCTCCGGGAACATGAAGGGCCTCAAACCGATTGTTCATGATCTTGACAAAGAAGTCTGACCATCTGGAAGGTGGGCGGCCACGCGGTCTTTTGACATCCCGTGGAATCCAGTCGGTAACAGCTCTAGTCCAGCGGTCGTCTTTAAATCTCATTATGTGACCAGCCCATCTGATTTTCGACACCTTGGCATATGAGACAGCGTCCCTGATTCTTTATCGTCGACGGATGTCAGAACTCCGGATTCTCTCTCTCATTTGAGTGAAACGTGATATTCCAAGCATAGCTCTTTCTATTCTTCTTTGGGAGACCTGAATAGCGTTCTCATCTTGTTTGTGTAGGGCCCAGGTCTCTGAGGCATATGTTAATGCAGGAAGAACAGTGGAATCAAAGAGATGTGCCCGGAGCCGGAGGTTCTTTGTCCTCTTAGCTATTGCTTCGACGTTCTTGAAGGCGTTCCAAGCCACTCTCTTCCTCCTGCGCAGCTCGGGTGCCAGGTCATTTGTCATGTTGACCTCTCGACCTAGGTACACATAGCTGTTGCATTCGGAGATGGTCGTTCCATTGAGAGCGAATGGGGCATCAGGAACAAGGCTGTTTCTCATAAGCATTGTCTTCATAAGATTCAGCTGTAGTCCTACCTTTCCACACTCACGGTCAAAGTCGGCCAGCATTTGTGCCGCTTGGCTGATGTTTGGTGTTATTAAAACAATGTCATCAGCAAAGCGGAGGTGGTGTAGTTGCCGACCATCTATCTTCACTCCCATTCCTTCCCATTCCAGTCGTCGCATGATGTTCTCGAGGGTGGCACTGAAGAGTTTTGGTGAAATGATATCACCCTGCCGCACCACTCTCTTGACATCAACGATCACTTCTTTGTAGAATGGTGAGATCCTGGTAGTGAATCCGCAATACAGCTCACGGAGGATCCTGATGTATTGGGCTTGAATGCCCTGATTGGCTAGGGCTTCAATGACTGCTTCTGTCTCAACAGAATCAAAGGCCTTCTTTAAATCAATGAACGTTAAACAGAGCAGCATCTTGAACTCCCGAGAAACCTCAATGATCTTGGTTATCGTGTGGATATGGTCGATGGTGCTGAATCCTTTGCGGAACCCGGCTTGCTCGCATGGTTGTCCTTCATCTAGTGTTCTGCCAATCCTATTTAATGACTCGAGTGAACAACTTGTAGATGACAGACAATAGGCAGATCGGGCGATAGTTGCCAATGTCATGGATGTCTCCCTTTTTGAACAGTAGTACGGTCCTGCTGGTTTTCCATTGGGACGGAACCTTGCATTCAGACAGGTAGCAAGTGAAGAGCTGAGCCAGTGTATTGATGAGTACTGACAGCAGGTTCTTCAGGTGTTCAGGTCTGACCTTGTCTCGGCCAGGTGTTCTTTGTTTCTTTACCGATGAAATGGTGTGTCGGATTTTGGAGGGGAGAATGTTGGGAACGACATATCCATCCTGTGGAATTTGGTATGTCGGCAAGTGGACATGGCTGTCGAAGAGATTTGAGTAGAAGTCATGGATAATCTTCTCCATTGCCGTTCTGGAGGATGTGATGGATCCATCAGGACGTCGGAGGGCAGTCATCTTGGTCTTATAGTTGGCGAAGGACAGGCGGGCGTTACAAATACTTTTCCCGGCTTCTGCCGCATCTACCAGTACTTCTGCTCTTCTCTCTTTGAGGTCTTCCTTGATCGCATCTCTGCACTGCTTTGCGAGCTCAGACGTTAGCTTGCAGTTGCCTGAGGCATGCGCCAAACCACGCTGGCGAATTAACTCAAGAGTTTTCGAAGATAGGCGATTTTTTGTGGCTATCTCTCTCTTGGCGTTCCTCGCACATTCATGGAGGTGCTGAACCAGTCGATCGTATTCCTCGTCAATGTTGTCAACAATGGCATCTTCCCATGTTGCCATCTGAGAACTCCCAGACTGACCACCAACTTGGAACTCTTTGGTACTATTGCGGCCCAGAAAACAAAACAGACAAAACCCAGAACTTGAGGCGTGGTGCCTTATTTGAGGCCACCAGGATTTCCTGTCTGATCCCCCTGTGGCCTGGGCTCTGGGTGCAGGCTTGGGGCTGGCCGTGTTTGTAAAACTGGAGTCAGTGGGAGGGCAGCTGGACTCTCACTAGCAGACAGCACCCAGGCAGGTTTCACCCGACCAGGACCTTGGCTGCCCTCCCTACTGCCCCTCCCTCTCCCAGGCCCTGAAGAAGAAGAATGGTGAGTTTGCGCGAATGTATGCTGAGATTGCCATCTCCATGAAGAAAGAATGGTTGAAATGGGTCCGCATGGCATCCTGGGTGTACACTCTGGCCTCCAAAGTGCAAACAGGTTTGATGGTGAAGGAGGTGAGTGTCCATTGTGGAGTCAGCGAGACTTTTGGCTGGAGTGTTGTGTTCCTGCTGATTCAGGACCCAGAGCTTGCCAGGGATGCCTTTTTCCGTTCGTGGAGTTTGACTCTGCCTGGGGAAAGTCCAGCCCTCAGGCATCACTGAGGATCTTTGCAGGTGTCCCAGAATATGCAAGATTTGACCATAGGCTTGGAGAAAGTTGTGACTGCCAAGGGTGTGAAGAAAATCTCTGCGGCAATTAACAAGTTTGAACAGCTGGTGGAGAACCTGGACGCTTCGGTATGACCACTGCACACCTTGTGGGGCCAGGAAGAGGGGAGGGGAGGGGCCCAGAGTCCCCCGGAGACCTGGGCACAGCTGCTCAGCCCGTGGCTTGCACAGGTGATGGAAGACTCGACGAGCTCGGCAACACGCCAGGAGCGAGTGGACAGGTTCCTTCAGGAGATCACTGAGGAGATCAAACGTGAGGAGGACCGTGACCAGCTGAGCCAGCTGTCCAAGGTTCCCTCTCCCGTGGGCGAGAGCTCCAAGGGAATCGGGCAGAACTAGCTGTGAGGGAGGCCCATGTGCAGGGTCAGCTGCCGGGGCAAAGGGGGTCCTGCAGGCTGCTCACGTGCTGTCCGTCTATACTGCACCTCTGCCCTGGGGGGCGCGGTGGAGGGGAGAGTGGCTGTTTCAGTCCCGGCCAGCACGTGACTAGGGTGGTATCGGTCCAGCCTTCTCCTGAGGGACTCTGTGGTACACTGCAGGCTGGCCTCCCTGAAGAACTAGGCCACTGTCCACCTGGAGGGGAGGAGGCAGCCGCCCCGCCTTTCTGCTGACCATGGCCTGGCTGTTCTTCGCCCACCTGCCAGCCTGGAGCCCTGCTGTGTGCCTGCATTGGGCACCTGTCTCTGTGACTACACAAACTTCTGACTTCTCTGGGTAATTCCCATGTCAGGAAAAGTAAACAGAATGTTCCTGAGGACCTGCTCGTCTTTGCTTCTTTGTCTTGGGGACGGGAGTTGGGGGTACGAGTGGAGAGACATTCTCAAGCCACAGTCCGAATCGCAGGAGCATTCAAATGGGTTTCCATGTTCAGTGGCACAGCTCCTGTGCCCAAGACTGTGATCCTCTGGACAGTGCTTCCTGCCCTCTGTGCCACTGGCTGGGGTCTGGTGGCAGCACTTCCACTGTGTGCTCCTGTGTACTCACCAGAACTTTTGCAGGACACTCACCTGACGACCCTCCTACACTCTGCCAGTGGGCACCACTTCTGGGTCATCCTGGCACATCTGCTTCCACACTCACAACCTGTGCACATAACAGGACCAGCACAGTACGACCTGTGTGTGTGTGTGTGTGTGTGTGTGTGTACATAGTCCAGGATCCACACCCCTATGACTTATGTGTGTATAAACCTGGATCCCCACCCATAGGACCTGTATGTGTCCAATCTGGGACCCTTCCCTGCATGACCTGCGTGTGCACCCCAGTTCGTTCAGACCGATGCCAGTCTCAAGGAAGCCCAGTCATAAAGTCAGAGGCGCTACCAGCACAGCACAGTGGGGGGCCCTGCCAGCCACCAAAGGAGGCTGTGGGAAGACTGAGGTGACCGGCTAGAGCAATAGTATAGCAGGGAGGGCGTTTGCCTTGCACGTGGCCAACCTGCTTTATGTCCCCTGTATCCCCTCTGATCCCCTGAGCACTGATAGGAGTGATTCCTGAGTGCAGAGCCTGAAGGAAGCCCTGAGCATTGCCAGTTCTGGCCCCCCAAAAAACAACAACAACAACAACAACAACAACAACAAAAAGATTGTGTAGAAATGAAGCTGAGGATGGAGCTAATTAATACCAGAACTGTAGGACAGCACGTAGGGTGCTGGCTCTACCCACAGCAACCCCAGTTTTATTCCCAGCATCGCCTATGGTATCCCGAGCACTGCCAGGAATTAAATCCTGAGTGCAGAGTCAAAAGCAACCCCTGAGCACTGACGGGTGTGACTCCAAAATCCAGACAACAGAAATGCCCGAGGTGACTGTCCCTGAGGGGGTCATGCTGATCCCGGCCCTCAGGAGGACTAGGCGGGCCAGGTGTGTGAGCCAAGACTCTTATCTCCATCCTTGTGTGGATCTGCTCATGTGGGGAACCAGTATGACACAGTGTGTGTGTGTGTGTGTGTGTGTGCGTGTGTGAGTGCATGTTTAAAGTGTGTTCATGTGCAGATGTGTGATTGGGGTGATATGTATGGGCTCTGGGCTCAACGGGATCAGGAGCAGAGATCCTCTACCCGCTCTCCCCAGTCTCCAGCCACCCAGGGGTCACACCCATAAGCCACCTCCTGGGGTTGCCAGATAATCTCGTCATCAGTCAATGTCCAGATCCCAAGGCTGCTTCTCTGGAAAGGGGGCATAACAGTGAAGCCCCCATAACCATGCTGCCAGATTCCACGCCAGGCTGTTTCACACAGAGCACCCCAGAGGGGGGCGGGTGAGAGCCCTCCCCACCCCGAAAGGACCCAGCCCCAGCAGCAGAAAACCTCCACAACCCAACCACTGCCATGTTCAAGGCTGCTCCCCGTGCACTTGGTCTGAGCCTCACATATGAGTAAACATATTCCTGGACTGTGTGGCCGCTTTTGTGGCTGTGCAACACATCATAAAACACTCCCTACCCATTCTCCATAATTAACACACCACATTTGATGGGGTTCAGATCACGATCACGATCATCCTGTTGTTCATCAATTTCCTCGAGCAGGCACAGTAACATCTCTTTTTCCTAGCCCTGAGATTTTAAAAGAGCCATTTCAGTGCTCTTTCAGGATTAGGAGAATGAGATCCATCATTGTTATTGGTATTTGGCATATTGAGTACGACATGGGAAGTTTGCCAGACTCTGCCGTGCAGGCAGGATACTTTTGGTAGCCTGCCAGGTTCTCCAAAGGAAAAATAAGATAATAAGATGTTGCGCGGCCGCGAATGCTTCCAGAAGCTGGGTTTTATAATCTCTGCGTCTTGGCCACTGATGGGACCAACCTGGCGCTGGCAGCAGCAGGTGGGTGTGACGGCTACCAACTGGAAGATGGAGGGTCTAGGTGGAGAAGGCCCAGTCCCAATCCGAGTAGGCTTGGAGATCTCAGCCCCGGGACCCTCATGCCTTCGGTGATGTGCATGCTGTCACCAGTCTGGCCAGAAAAGCGGAAGCCAGAGCTCTACCGGGGGCACCTCAGCTCAAAGTGCAGGATCAGTGGCTTACCCCAGCCTGTCAATTGCCTAAAGAACTGAGAGTGGACATCTAAACTGGTTCTAAGTATTCAGTCTTAGTTAATACATACAGTCATTTGGAGAGAACAGAGATTTTGTTCCCAACAACTCTTGATTCCTGTTCCATCATGAAATTAATACCCCATTTAGAGAATATTTCCCTTAAGCCAGAACACTCTGCAGAAGAGGGAGAATGGACAGTGGAGCAACGCCTCCAAAGGAAAGATGATGGATGGGCTACCAAACAACGAAAATTGCTAACCCCTGGACCAATGCAGTCACTCAGAACTGTGCTTTCTGTGCCATTAATAAACCTAGTGGAAATCTTGAGTCTCCCCTCCTACCACCATCAGTTCAGTATCAGGGATCTATCCAGGGGAGGACTGGCAGCTTGACTTCATGTAAAGGATCAAATGCTCAAATGTGTAAGGGGTAAGAATCTATTGGTTCTTATTGATAGCTTCAGTGGATGGGCAGAAGTTTTTCTGATCTGTACTGAAAAAGTCAGAGAGGTGACTTGGTGTTTCTGTGTAAACTGGAAAGACCTGGACACAGGAAGTCATTTTCTTTCAACCAAATCCATGGGTGAGGGAGTGATGACTTTTCATTTTTATGAAAAGACCAGGTGTGCCGTTATGCTGCTTTGGTTTCTGTAGTGTTAATTTTTGTGCTCTCTGAAACAGCAAATCTTTTTGCCCTCGGTAAGTCAGAGAGGGCTTTCTACACCTCCAGGGTCTAATCAATATTCCTCAGTCTATCTGTCTGATCTGTTCCTTCAGATGCTGACAATTCCAAGAGCCCAACCCAGTCATCGTCAGGGGCCCATTCAAAACTAAGGTAGCTTGAGACCTCGCCCCTGTGCAGGCAGGGTCAGCGCCCCTGTGTCAGCAGGAAGCAGCTCCAGAGAGTGGAACTTAGACCATTTTCCCCGTAAAGACTTAAGGTGGTGAGATCTCCAGGGGAATATGATATACGTAGAAATTCCTTGCAATTGTCCTGTAGAAAGTGCAAACTCCCTTTACAGGGGAACTCTGATCCCTTTGAAATTCTTTTGGGTCAACTGCCACTACTCCAACTTAGCCTTGGGAGAGGAAGTGTAGGCCAGAATGTAGGATCTCTCTCTTCTCCAGTCATTACTGGCCCTACAGGTACCAAGGCTCAGCTCCATGTGGGGCTTGGAGAACACCGCCCCACCAGAGTGAAGGGGAACGAGTAACTCCTCATCTGTATGCATTGGATTATCTTGTCTGGGTCAGGTGGCACCAGACAGCCACCCGCAAACCTCAGTGGAGAGACCCTTATACTGTGATCCTGACTACATCAACTGCCGGAAGGTGGATGGAGTAAAAACCTGAGTCTATGGTTCACATGGAAAAGCTGCCTCCCCCCATTGGAGGCAGCTCTATGTGGACCAGTGGCACATCCAGACAATGGGAGACGACCCCCACCTTCAAGATCAGACTGAAGAGACAGACTTAAAGGAACCATGGGAAGGGCATGGGTCATTCTGTTTCTGTATGCTCATAGTGACAGTAGTGGAGCGAGTTCCCTACATGCTGCAGTATTTGGCGCTGAGTACTTTCTGATACTGAGACAGGTAGAATTAACATTGATCTGGGCCAGTCATGGCCCACCCTAGGACATAAGCTTGTTTATGGACATACCGAGCCCATTGTAACCAAAACTATAGAGTGTATTTGTTTTATGTAGGAGTACTGCTATTTATTCAACCACTGATTAGCTGATTGAATTGTGCATGAACTCCACCTTACTTTTTAAATTTTTTTTTATAATTTTATTTATTGCTATAGGGCTGGAGCGATAGCACAGCGGGTAGGGCGTTCACCTTACAAGCGGCCAACATGGCCGACCCGAGTTCGATTCCTCCGCCCCTCTCGGAGAGCCCGGCAAGCTACCGAGAGTATTCGATATGCCAGACACAGTAACAACAAAGTCTCCAATGGAGACCTTACTGGGCCCGCTCGAGCAAATCGACGATCAACGGGAGGGCCTTTACCTTTTACCTTTACCTTATTTATTGAATCACTGTGAGAGCAATTACAAAGCTTTCGGGTCTAAGTCTCGGTCATACAATGAAACACCCGTACCTTCACCAGTGCCCAATTCTCCACCCGAACAACCCCAGTATATCCCTATCCGGCACCCTCCCCCTACCTGTGGGGCAGATGATTTCCACATTACTCTCTCTCTCTACTTTGATCTTAATCACTTAATCACTTAACTTCCAGTTAGTCGTCGATTTGCTCGAGCGGGCGCCAGTAACGTCTCCATTTGTCCCTGTC